CCAAGGACACCAGGACGCCCCCAGACCCCTCCAGGATGGGAGGTGGGGGTGCAGGGGCAGGCCCCCCCAAGCTGAGGCCCCTCTCCACATGCCAGGAGCGATGCTTCCCGTGAAGAGCTGGCCGAGCTGGCCCAGCAGGCCAACCCCGAGGAGATTGAACTGGGGGAGGATGAGGAGGAAGACGAGATGGACCTGGAACCCAACGGTGGGTGTGGGGCCAACCAGGTGGGGTGGGAGGGAGGGGCACGAGCCTGTCAGAGGATGACCACCTGTTCCCCACCCCTAGAGGTGCGCCTGGAGCAGCAGAGCGTGCCAGCCGCCGTGTTCGGAAGCCTGAAGGACGACTAGGCCCCAGTGCCACCTCTTCCCCCCTCTCCCCATTAAAGCCCATGTTTGTACATCCGGTCTGAGCCTTCTTCCTTCTTCCCAGGTGCCCACGGGGAGTGCCAGCTCAGTAGTGCCCTGGCCCCGGGCCCCTCGGGGATTGGCTGGGATGGGGGCGGGGCAGCCGGGCAGCAGGCCAGGACACTCACCCCGCCCCACTCCACCCCGCACAGCCAGTTCTGGACTCGGAGCTGCCAGGCCTCTGCCTTGAGGAAGCTCCTTGAGCTGTTAGCCTGGGGCCTGGTCCCCGCTGTCCAGGTCTCCCCTAACCTCTGTCCTCTTCCCACCTCAGCCAGCCCCACTCCCTGGAGAGAGCAAGTCAGAGAGCCCAGCCTGGACCCAGCTTTATGAACTTGGCACCCATCTCTTCCCCTCGGTGACCAGGTGCCAGAACTGGTCTGGAGGCCCTGGTCAGGGTGTGGCCTTTAGTCATGGGAAGCCATTAGAAGCTCTGCACGATTAAGGGCTTTGAGCGTAATCCGATTTGCATGTGGAGGAGCTCACGAAGGCTACTGTGTGGAGCCAGGCCTGTGGGAGAGAGGCTGTGTAGACAGGCTGTGGAACAGGGCTCCTGGGGAGGGTGGGGGGAGGCTGTGTGGTCCGGAAGAGGTGTGGAGCCAGGCCTGTGGGAGGGAGGCCTGCCTGGAGGCTGTGGAACCAGTTCTGTGGGTGGAAGGTCAAGGTGGAGGTTGTGGACAGGGAGGCCGTGAAGATGAGTGTCTGGAGGAGGCAGTTGTGGCTCTGGTGGTCCTAGGGGAGATGTGGCTGAGACAGGAGTGCCAGGTCAAGCTGACACCCCAGGGTGGGGGGTCAAGGGAAGCAGCACTGGCACCTGAGCCCAGGGCAGCCATGCGCTCCGCTGGCTCCCAGCTGTGATGTGGGTGCCTGTGTCCCGTGGCCGCGCTAAGAGGCAACCAGATACATGGTCATGGAACAGAGCGAGAAGCCTGGGAGGCTTGGAGGTGACTGAGCACAGCAGCAGGCTAGGCGTGAAGATCCAGTTAGAAGCTGACCCCATAAAAAGCAGCAGGGAAGCCAAGACTACCAGGCAGGCTGGGAGGAGCGGGGTTGACAGGGGGCAAAGTGACCACAGCATCAGATGCCCGGAAAACTGGTGGGGCTGGCAGGGACCAGGAAACTGGAGCGCAGCCGGGCCAGCCTCCAGGTGACAAGGACCCACTTCTTCTTCAAATTATTTATTCAAGGTGTGAGGACGGACGGGGGCTGAGCCGAGTACCGAGTCCCTGAAACACCCAGCTCAGCACCCCCAGCAGGACAGGACGGACACAGACTTAGGGGATGGGGCCCCAGCCCCACCCAGACAAGGGCGGAAACAGGCAGGACCCACAGATGCCAGCTGTTCTTAGGAGGGCGGTGGCCGCCCAGATAGGGCTATTTGGGGGTGCTGCCCCCTTTCTTGGGTGTTGTGGGCTTCTTGCTCTGCCAGAGGTGGCCCTGGATGGTGAAGGCGTCCACGCTCATGGACATGGTCTTGGCAGGAATCTGGGTGAAGCGCTTGCGGTCCGAGTTGTACTTATAGATGCCCTCCACCATGGCGGGCGTGACGGTCCTGGGGCCGTAGCCCGCCAGCCGGGACAGCTCCTCCGACTCCCCAGTCAGCGTGTACAGTGCCCGGAACTGGCAGCTGGAGTCTCGGAAGAGGATCAGAAAGTGGTTGGCCTTGCTCTTCTCGATTTCCTGTGGAAGAGGAGACGTGTCAGGAATGGCCAGCCACCCTGTGGGGGCCCAACCCAACCCCCTGTGCCCACCCCCGGCACAGGCGCACCTCCAGAATGCGGTTCTTCTGCGGCTCGTTCACCTTGCCTGCTAGGCAGCAGTGTGAAAGGGCGTTGTGGATGATGAATTTGTTGGACTTGGCGCTGGGCTCCTTGTAGAGCCGGGGACCTGTGGGGCCGGGCAGGTCGTCAGCAGGACCAGGGGCAGAAAGAACCGGAACCGCTGCTCACCACCCTCACCCATGGGCTCCTGCACCCCCTGCACTCCGGCATCTCCCACCCATAAGCTCCTGCACTCCCTGCGCTGTGCGCTCCGGCGTCTCCCACCAGTGAGCTCGGGCATCCCCTGCCCCGTGCACTCTGGCCCAACCCCTACCTGTGTACTCAGGCACCGACGCCGGGGACGAAGCGTTGCTGCCGTTCTCCCAGTCACGCTCGCGGCTCCCGGGCAGGCGGCTTGGGGACATGAGGCCAGATGGGGATGGGGCCCTAAGGAGCAGAGGTGGGGGGTGTCGGTGTGGGGCGACACTGCCCTACACACACATCACACTCAAGCACCGACATGCATGCACAGAGACTGAAGCCACCTCCCGCCTGTGTCCAACTCACCGAGACGTGGGCCTTCTCACACCGAGGTTGTGGGGGGCCTCGTTGGCCACAGTTGACAGTGACAGGGTGGACTGGGAATAGACCTTGCTGAGCCGAGAGCCTGGAAGCAGAGGGCGCTGGTCAGGCCTCACTAGAACCCCTTGACCCCTGAGGTCCCTCATGCCACACAACAATCCCCACTGCCCCCGGCTGGCATCGAGCCCTGGCTGCAACAAGCTCGGAGGACTTTAAACGGCGGGAGTGTTGGAAGACCACCAGGCCTGCCTTCTGAGGAGCTTCTAGGTGGACTTGAACTTCCAACCTTATATATATATTAGTTGCTTATGCCACCCAAGGACTCCAAACACCTAATGAGGAAGAGATTTTCCCACAGGAAAAGGCCTCATTCAAACTCTCTACTTGTCCATGAAACGACAGAGGCAACTCCAGGCCAGCCCTGCCCACTACCTGTTCCCCTACATCTTGACAGACAGAGGGAAGCCCCCTGAAATGCCTTTCTGCAGTCCTGCATGTCCCCTCCCACACCCTCACACAGGGCCCTGGCCCCAGTGTCCTCACCGAGCAGGCCCCGGGCAGGGCTCCGGGCCAGGGCTGAGTCGTCACAGCAGCCAGAGCGGGGCCGAGGGGCCTTGCGTCCACCGCGGCCTGGCCTTCCGGCCCCCGACGCACAGGGCCGCAGCACCTTGTCCAGGTCGTCCATCAGCTTCAGCTGCGCCCGGCGCTCGTACTCCAGCCTCGTGAACTCCCCCCGCCGGGTGCCCACCTCCTCCTCGGCCCGGGCAGCGGGCACCGCGGGGGGTGGCGGAGCCGCTGGGGCCACCTCCTCCTGGGCCAGTCTGCAGATCAAGGGGGCAGTCAGACAGCTGAGGGAGTCCCCAGGAAGCGGAAGGAAGAGCAGAGTCGGGGGTCACCAGGCCTCACCGGGCAGCCTCCTCTCTCCGCTGCTCCTTTTCCGCCTCCTGCCACTGCTTGCGCCGCCGGGCCTCCTCCGTCCTCCGCTGCTGCCGCTCCAACAGGCTGGCCCGCTTCTGTGCCATCTCATCCTCGGGCTTGTCAACATCCTGGGGACAGACGCCGAGTCGGTGATGACCCTCCACTGCCCAGCCAGCCCACTGCCCTTCTGTCCTTGTGCTGCGGCCTCATTTGTGCAGAGTCCCTGGCTGGGGCAGTTAACACTCGGCTCACATCCAAGAGGTACTGCTCAGCAGTGCAGCGGAAGAGAGGCCTGGCAATCCACGTCTATCAAGATGGTGGTTGTTATTCACACCATTCAGTCACTCTGGCTCTTTGTGACCCCAAGTGACAGTGATCCTCCCGCCAGGGTGGATACCATGGGGTTTTTCTAAGCCATCATCTTTACCAGAGCTGGTCACCAGGTTTTTCTCCCAGTAGGTCACTGGGAATTTGAACTCCCAACCTTTCAGGAGCTAAGTGCTCAACTGTTGTGCTACCAGGGCTCATCATTCTATAATGACGGCAGCCAAGAACCTCCCTAGAGCGCAGTTCTCTGTAACAGCAGGGCTCACCCATGAGCTGAAAACACCTGGAGGTCAAGTAACATGTGAGCTGTCAGCAGGCTTGCTGGTAACCAAGAGGTTGGCAGTTCAAATCTGTCCAGTGGTGTCACGCAAGCTAGGCCTGGCCATCTGTGCCCATTAAGATGATGGCTAGAAAAGCCCACAGAGCAGTTCTGCTCTCTCACACACCGGGCCACGAGTGCGGAGCAACTCGCGGCAAGTTCAAGCGCAGCAAGGCGTGGAGTTCACAACAAAACCCAGTGAGTCCATTCCAGGGGCACAGGAGGGACCTGGGTGGTGGAGACAGGGAGCGCGCCCAGGCAGCTGGTCGAAAGGCTGGAGGCTCAAGTCCACGCAGAGGCGCCTACATGACCTTCAGGGGGATATTGGCCCCAGGTGAACCCTATGGAGCGCAGCTGTACTCCTGCACACCTGGGGACACTTGATGACAACAAGTGGCTCAGTTGACAACAGCCCTACACTGAGGACTGGGGCACAAAGGGGACCCGAGCAGACCTGGATGCTGCTTGTGCAGAGCATTTACCCCAATAGGAAAAGAGATCAAACATCACACAGACGGTGGCAGACAGCAAGAAGCACCTGGTGCTGCTGAGCGACCCTGGGGAGAGGGGCACCCAGGGAAGTTCCTCAGGGTAACAAGAAGGATCTGACAGGTGGAGAGAGCGGTCCCCCAAAGCGAACAGGTGTCCAGGCCCTGGTGCCACAAGCCTCGCACAGCCCAGAACAGCTGGAGTGTCCAGTGTAGAGCTGGGGGACAGCCTCCCGGTAATGCCGAGTCTAAGGCCCTGGGGGAAACCATCTTTCACACTAAGGACAAGGGGGGGAGACCCAAGGGCCACGACAAGGTCTGATAGGCATTTTTAAAAGACTCACTACACTTGTTCAGTGGAATGAGACGGAAGCAGCAGAGGCCAGTGAGAGACAGGGATAGTCCAGGACAGGAGCCCATGAGGCAGAGGAGGGGGTGGTCATCAGGGCAAGGGGCAATGGGGGAAGCAGAGGCTTTGGGGAAAGAATTCTACCTCTACCTGTTTTTCCTACTCCCGTCCACTCAATCTGTCAACCTGACCAGCCTCTACCCACAACTTCGTCAAAGTATCCACCAGACCCATCTACGCCATGTCTGTCTGCGCACCCCATGCGTCTACCCAAATGTGCAGGCGTCCAACCATCCACTCCTAAATAAAGCCCTATCCATTCATCTGCCTACCCATGCCCAGGCATGGATCCCCTGTCCATGACCACCCACCCATCCGTCCACCTCTCCACACCATCCTTTCCATCTACTAGTCACTCACGCTTCCATCCAGCCATCAACCTATCCTATCCGGCTACGCACACCTTATCTGCTGGTCCGTTTCCACTTCTCCTATTGAGTTGCCCACCCACATACGCATCCACCTATCAATAAAGCCTTATCCATTCTCTGTCTACCCACCCATCCAACCACCCATCTCCCGGTTCACTCTTCTCCCCACCCACCCACCCATCCATCTGTTGTTCACCCGTCACTCAATAAAGCCCAATCCATCTGTTATGGATTGAACTGGGTGGCCCCTCAAAAATACGTGTTACAAATGATACTTGTGCCTATAAGCATTTAGGAATTAATTTTCTTTGTTACAGTATAGGGTGTATATAAGTCATTTCCTCTCGCGATATGACAGACCAATGAGGTGCAGAGAAGGAGGAGGAAACTCGGGGAAAGCACAGATGCCAAGATCACACCAAGGTATCAAGGACCTTCCTTCAGAGCTAACATAGAAAGAACGCCCTGAACTTGAACGTCTAGTGTGACTGACTGTGAGAAAATAAACTTCTGTTTGTGAAAGCCACCCAACTGTATTATTTCTGTTAGAGCAGCACTAATTCACTCAGACCTCCAGGTAATCTTCTGCCCAGCCACCTGTGTGCACCCACAAACCCCCATGTGCCTATCCACCTGTCCAGCCGTCCCCCACCTGCTCAGGTGATGCTCACCTTATAGAAGAATCCAAGTCCAGCCCTGGGTTCTCCCTCTGAAGATGCCTCCTCCTCGAGGGAGTCCTCGGCACCTGGGGGGCTCCCGTCTTCCTCATCCTCGGCTGTGGGCTCCTGCAGGCTGCCCAGCGGGATCTCGATGAGGCCGGGCCGGGCGGAGGGCTCCTCGGGCGGCGTCCCCTCCGCCAGGAGAATGGAAGAGCGCGTCTGCACGGGCACCTGGCTCGGCGAGAACTTGCGCAGGTGGGGGAGGCTGTCTACGTCGTTGGGGGGCGTCAGCACCCTGGTCAGGGGCGCTAGCCGCAGCTCTGCCGGCCGGGCGTGTTTGGGGCTGCTGCGAGGGGCTGCGGGGCTAGGGCCAGGCCCGGAACTGCGACGCGCGGCTGGGGCTCGGCGAGCGGGGCTGGGGGACGAGGCTTTGGGGCCTGTTGTGGGGCCGGGGATGACCCAGGCAGCAGGTGGCGAGCCGGGGCCGGGGGGCTCGTGTGGGGCCAGGAGCCGCTGCTGCTGGTCCGTTAGCCTCTGCATGTCACGCTGTAGCGAGTTCAGGGCAGCGCTCAGCTTGCTGACCGCTCGGTTGTACTCTCCCAGCCCCTCGGGGGGCAGCGGCCCCAGCTCGGGAGAGAAGGTCACTGACTTGGGCCGCGGGGACGGCTCGCCCTGGCCCTCGCCGGCCGGCCGCTCGCCGCCAGGGGCTGGACCTGCCTCTGCCTCCCCTGCGGCCTCGTCCTCGGGGGCACCGGCCGCTTCCCGCGGCTGCACCTGCAGAAATGCACTCTTGCCCAGGCGCTGGCGGTGCTTGGCGAAGATGGCCTCGATGCGCCGCTTCTGGGCCTCGATGGCCCGGCGCTTCTCCTCCAGTCGGGCGCCAAGCTCACTCATCTCCGAGCTCAGGGCCTCAGGGGCAGCCGGGGTGGCCTCTGGGGAGCCCCCTCCAGCCTCGGCCTCTACCTTCACCAGCTGCTTCTTGCGTTCAGCGAAGCTGGTCATCTTCACTTCGGAGTTGGTGGCCGGCGACGAAGCCACTGACTTCGGGGACCCCTCAGGGTGTTTTGAACCCTCCCGAGCTGGGCACGGTAATGGTTTCGAGGGTCCCTCGGGGTGGGGCACATACGCAGGTGCTCTGGTGGGCCCATCGGGCAGTGCTTTCAAGGTGCCTTCGAGTGGGTAGGGAGAGGTCAGCGGCGGTTTTGAGGGCCCCTCGGGGGAGTGGAGGTAGAAGCTGCCGTCGGCGGCCCCATCGGGGAGCAGGCGGGGCTCGGCGCTGTGGATGATCTGTAAGGCCTCCTCGATTGTGGGTAGGTCCCCGGGCTCCGGCGGGGGTGGGGCGGACGTCCGGGCCTGCAAGGGGCGAGGGGGCCCCAGGCTGTCCGAGCTGACCGAGCGGAGCAAGACCGGATCTCCCATCACGACATCCACATCGCTGTCCAGGCCAAAGGGGGTGCTGAAGGACACAGCCTGGGAGAGGGGCCGGCTGGGCGGCGGAGGGAGGGGTCAGGCCCTAGGGGTCACCTCAGGCCGGCCCTCCCCACCTTGCCCCGGGTGACACCCACCTGAGTTGGCGGTTCCAGACCTTGCCCAGCGTCTCCATGTGGGACATGGATGGTGAGGACTGTAGGGAGCCTGGAGGGGATAGGGAGTGGTCACCTGGGGGTCATCACGAGGGTGGCCATGGCCACAGGGCAGACACGGGCGGCTGCTAGGTGTGCCCACCAGATTAGAGCTCTCCAGAGATGGACAGCTGGGGTTCTCGAGATCACGATGGGGACCGAGTGTCACTCAGGGTGTCCTGAAGAGGCACGTGATCAAGCTCACAAACTCTCAGATCAGGTGGGGCCCCTTCCACCTCCTCACCTGTGGATCCACGGAGTGGAGACTGGGGGCCTCCAGGGGACAGGAGCGGGTGACGGAAATTGAAGACAGGAGAACTGCCAAGAGACCCCTGTCAACTGAGTGGTGTCCTCCCAGAGGGGAGTCACTCATCTCCACCCCACCTCAGCCCTGCCACCCAGCACCAAGCCAGGAGGAGCAGCCCACACGACAAGAAGACCACACCGACACACGGGGCAGGCGTACCTACTGCCACTGTGGTTTTGATTCTGGGTTGGGGATGCATCTGTGCCTCGGGGGGTAGCAGCTATGGGCAGAGAAAAGGGTCAGGCTTGGCAAGGAACCTCCCCACCCCGGGCTTGTCCCCAGGGCTGGGCCTCACCGTGCCCGTCGGGCAAGTCTTTGGGCTGCACGAAGTCGGGCTTGAGCACCTCAAAGCACGTGAACATCTCGGCCAGCAGCACCACTAGGTTGACCTGGAGGCAGAAGCAGCTTCAGCCACCAACCCCCACAGCCCAGGGCACCAGCTCAGTCCCCCGAGGCCCTCGATGGTCTCACCTTGAGGGGTGGGGGGACGTACAGCAGGTCCTCCAGGGACAGCGGGCAGCCACGTGGAAGGCGAGAGGCACAGAAGTCCTGCACTAGCTGGAGGTTGTATAAGCTGTCCGCCACCGACATGGGGTCCTTGAGGCAGACCTCTGTGGAGACAGAAGGTTGAGGTCCCCGACTTTAGGAGGAGGGTAAGAGAGCTCAGCAGCAGAGGATCTGTGCCAAGCTGGGCACCCCAGAAAGAGATGAATACTGCAAAACTGGAGACTCTGCCCCAGGACCTTTGCACTTGCTGTCCCCAGAGCTGCCCAGAGCTGACTTCTGCTGGCATGGGTTCACATCACTGCCCCAGGACTACTCTTCCTGACCATCTGCAGCCTTCCATGGGGGACTCAGTGGCCATGTGACATCCACTATGGATCAATTTGTCCTTCCCAACCACAAAGAGGCATTGGTGCCCAAGGAGAGGGCTTTGAATTGGGCTCATGGGGCTGGTATTTGGCATCCACTCAATTACATTATCACCTATAATGCTCAAAGTCACCTTAGATTTGTTCAAAGGTACACGGCTAACCAGAGGAAGAGAGGCCTCAATCCAAATGTGCGAATTCTGGAAGTGCCACTCTTAATGTCACCATCCTGTCCCCAAGCAGAGAGCTTGGACATATGGCTTGAGGGACACAGAAAGATGCTGGGTCAGGGGACACTGCCTCCAGCCCATCCACTCACCCTCAAGGCGCAACAGCTGGGGGCAGTAGCAGTGGATAGTGGCAGCCAGGGCCGCTCCACTCGCCAAGTCTTGGAGGCTGGCCACCGTGGGGAAGCAGGGCGCGCGGCGGGCCACGGCACGGTCCTTTCGGTACCGGATCTGCGTGTGACGGGCACTGGGTCAGATCAGAGCTCTGCCTGGCCCCGAGGTAGGAGGTCATGCAGGCTGGGCAGGGAGGCCTGGGGTTCTCATTATGAGGGGCCATGAAGCTGGGGGTCCCAGAGCCAGAGTGGGGGGCCAGCCTGGAGCAGGGGAGGGGCAGCAGCGAGAGGCAGAGGCGATGCCTGCGAGCAGCCAGGCCAGCAGCAGGGGCCAGGGGCAGGGACGCCTGGGACCCCAGGGTGGGGGATACGTTACCATGGGGGGTTTGCTCCCTGACTCCTTCAAACAGAAGGCAATTGCGTGCTGGGGGGAGAGGAGCAGCGTCAGCCGGGCAGGAGGGGGGCTGACTTGCTGGGCCCCCAAGCCCGCCTCTCGGGGGGAATGGCCCTGCTGCCTGTCCTATGTTCTGGCCATCCAACTCCCTAACTGTGCTCTGGCTGGCTGGGGGAACCCTACAGAGCAGCCCCCTCATGCAGGCAACCCCCCACAAAAGACCCAGGCCCCCAGCTCAGGGAGAGGATGCATGGAAAGCAGGGAGGCAGGAGAGGAGCCCCCCCAACCCACGTCCGAGGGCAGGGAGAGGAGGTCCAGGCGCGAGCAGAGGCGGGACCCAGCCCCTCTGATGGGGTCAAATGTGTTGGGTGTTAGGGTCAGGCAGGCCCTTCCCCAAAGCTGGGGTTTCATGAGAGAAACAAGGATCTCAACTGGAGAAGGCCTCTTATGCTTTCTGGAGTTTAGGGTCTATTGGCTGGAGGAGTCCTTTCCCCATATTCCTGTGATCTGACAGAGTGAGGGTCTCCTCTCTAAATTAGGGGGATAGGCTAAGGGTGTACTGTATTAGTTAATATGGCATTTGCCCTTCTGATCAAGAGACAAGCATCATCCACCCCATGGTTACATGGGGCAATGTCATATTCTTTAACAGAAGGGTTTCTGTCCCACAGGGTTAGGGTCCCTCCTCGTTTGCTCATAGCTGGGGTGAGGCAGGAGAGAACTCTCACAGGCAGGCAGACACAGAGCGACAAGTGGGGCAGGCAGACGGGGCGGACAGAGAGCCCCACTTACAGGGACCAGCTTCCAGTACCAGCGTGTGGGGCACTGAGGCCAGAGAGGCAGAGAGGAGAGCAGCGGGGGTGGCGCAGGGAAGGGACAGAGAGAGAGTGAGAGTCATCAGCAGCCCACCCACCCAGGAAGGGCACGAGGCACAGCCCACCCCGGTCCCCCAGCCCTCCAGCGCCCGTCCATCCATCAAGCCTCGTCCCAGCCTCACCGAGGGCTGAGTTGGTGCCACCCCATCTGCCGGGGCTGCTGGGGACGCTCGCTGGATGGCTTCCTGTTCCGTTTTCTCCTGCAGCCTCCGTACAGTCTAGGAAGCAGGCAGCGGTCAGTTGTCAGTCACTCAGCTACCCACGCCCCCACTGACCCCAGCCAGCTCCACCTACCGAGTCCACCCAGAGAAGGAGCTTGTGCTCCAAGCTACTGGTGGCCACAGGGCCGGGCAGGGTCTTTGTCCACTCGAAGGCGAAGGCAACCATGAGGGCATCGATGACAGCTAGGTGGGCACCCTGCAGGGATGAGGGCCCGTGAGTGAGATGAGAAGAGCAAGGAAGGGGGGAAAGTGAAATCTAGAGGTGGAAGGGACTTCAACGGGAGCCTGGGGACCGTCAGCAAGAAAAGAACCAGGATTAAGGTCCTGGAAGAGCCAAGCCTGGCGGGTTGGGCTCAAGGCCAAATCTAAGACTAGCTGCACATGGGTCAGTCCTTTCAGAAGGTGGGAGAAGCCTCGGAGAGAAAGTCTTTAGGGAAGCAAGGTCCCTAAGTACAGCAAGGAGTGGAGCCCAGAGCAGTGGGTGGGGCCTTGGAGGAGGAGCCAAGTTGAGAAGGAAAAACTTAAGTCAAATGACTAAATGGACAGGTCCTCAAGGGAAAGAGTCAGGGCTAGTGGCCAGGACCTTGAAGAGAGAAGGAACCAGGGCTGATGATCAAGGGAGTCAGGTCTGGTGTGGGTGGTCGTGAGTGCTCATGGAGGTTCCTAAAAGGAGCAGCCAGGCATGGTGGGCGGGACCTGAGGGGGAGGAGCCAGTGGTGGTAGGCGGGGCATTAGACGGAAGGAGCCAGGATTGGTGGATGTGTCCCTGGAGAAGGAGGAGCTAAAGCAGGTGGGCGGAGCACTGAGGGGAGGAGGATCCTATTTGGCAGGCTAGGCATTAGGAGGAGCCAGGAGGGGCGGGGCACTGAGAGGCGCAGGACTCAGCCTGGTGGGCGGGGCATTGTGAAGAGGAGCCCAGATTGGAGGACAGGACCTTGGGCGAAACCAGGCTGGTGGGCAGGGCCTCAGGGAGGAGGGGCCTCTCTGGTGGGTGGTTCCTTGGGAGGAGTCAGGGCTGGTGGGCGGGACCTCAGGGAAGAGGGACCTATCTGGTGCGTGGTTCCTTGGGAGGAGTCAGGGCTGGTGGGCGGGACCTCAGGGAAGAGGGACCTATCTGGTGCGTGGTTCCTTGGGAGGAGTCAGGGCTGGTGGGCTGGACCCTTGAGGGAGGGGCCAGGGCTGGTAGGCGGGGCCATGGGGCCTGTCAGATAGGCCTGCCTGGCCAGAAGGGGCTTACCATGAGGATGGGCTGGTGCCGCAGGTCGGCCTCAAGTACTGGGCGCTCTGGCAGCGAGGGCACCGTGCCCTTCCGTGCCAGCAGTGCTAGCAGCGCCGAGGGGTTCGGGGGCGCCTCGAGCTGTGGCAATGCTTGGCGCCAGGCCCTGCAGTAGAGCTCAGCTGAAAGCAACAGCCTCGTCACAGGGGGCTTCACGTGCTCCTGCGCATACTGGTCGGTGTAGAAAGGTTCCCACAGCTCTGGGGGTACATGCTCTGTGGAGGCGGGAAGGGAAGGCTGTCAGGGGCCCTGCAAACTCCTTCCACCCCACTCTTGGGACCTTCCATACACACGGTCCCAACCACAGGCTTGGACTTGGGTGGACGCCCCAGGCTGAGACAGTACAGGAACTGGGCTGAAGCACAGGTGGCCAGGCGAGGGATGAAGGTGTCCTGGGTGGAAGGGCCTGTGGGTGCAAAGTCCAGGCACTGAGAAGGAGCAGAGTGTGGCTTGGCAGGACACCATGCCCAGCTCGGGGTCTTTGGGGTGGAGTCTTAGAGGAAAGGGGTCCTGATTAGGCTCTCAGAATGCTCAGTGAGGAATGATGACAACCCTTAAACCCATCTGAACTCTCCCATCAACCAGGAAGCAACCAAAGCAATTGTTAATTGTTAACTCAGCTTCCTAAAGGAGGAAACTGAGGTAGGGTTCTAGTGCACAGAATGGGGAAGTGGCCAGATTGTAGACTCTTTGAGGGGGTGGAGTATGCTGAATCTGAGGTTCACGGGAAGAGGTGAGTGAGGAGGGAGAGGGAAGAGCCCAGGTCCATCTGATCTGAAGGGGAATGAAGGGCAAAGGGTGGCTGAGATGGGATCCTGGAAGGGCAGCCCGGGAGGACACCTAGGAGTCAGAGGACACAGGCGACTGGGGTTTAAGCGGGCTCATCATACAGAAAGAAGGAGGGGAGGAATGATGTATACTGCATTGAAACAGATGAGGAAGAGAACTGTTTGGAAGGGACATATGAATGCGTATTCTTGTCATTACAGAAGTCCAGAGTGAAGCCTGCATAGTGGAGTGGATTTGGGGGGAGGGATTGCATAACAATGAAAGAGTTTTTCTTTCTTTTCAAAGAGCAAAGTGAATTGGGGGGGAGGGGTTGTGTAGGGAGAAAGGTGCAACAATGAATGACTGGAAACCCTAAGTCTCTGTAAACGTTCATTAAAATTAATTTTTTTAAAATGTTCAAATAAAAAAAAAGGGCTTATCAGAGAGGCAGCCCTGGAAACCTGGATACAAAGGCGAGGGAGAGGGGACCCTAGGTGAGAGAAGAGGTAAGTGGGTGGCAGAGTCCCAAGCAGGATCGAGCAAGGAGATGACAGAGGCCAGCAGATGTGCTGGGTGGGAGGACTTCCAGAGAGGCTCTTGGTCCTCAACAGATGGAACAGTGGTTTTATATGCTGAGGTTCTATGTCAGTTGGAGTCTCTGAATGGTCCAAATGGTTAAGTGCTTTGCTGCTAACCAAAAGGTTGGTGGTTCAAATCCACCCCAAGGTGCCTTGGAAGACAGGCCTGGCAATTTGCTTATAGAAGGTCACAGCCATGAATATCTTATAGGAGCACAAGCCTCTGGTGCACGTGCGTGTGCACGCACACTCCCCCCCCTTCCCAAGAGGGAAGGTCCTCTTACTTCTAGAACTCTGTGCACTTGACTTGGCAGCCATTCCCCCATCACAATCCTCACCCCTCCCCCAGTTCCACCCTTACCCTAGAGGTCAGAGGGCTCCCAGCCTACAGCCCCTTTAGGCAGGGTCCTTCCCCAGACCCTAAAATCACACCAGGCACCCCCACCACCACAGGAACTCTGGTGGCTTAGTGGTAAGAAATTGTATTGCCAAGCAAAGGTTCACAGTTTGAATCCACCAGCTGTTCCCTGAAAGACAGAAGGGCGGCGAGCTCTGGTGACCTAGTGGCAAGAAGCTGCACTGCAACCCCTGAGGTGCATGGTTCGAATCCACCAGATACTCTGCTGAGAAGGCAGGACAATCTCCTCCTGTACCAATCAGATCCGATTTGATGGTAAGCACACAAAAAATAATAAAAAGGGGGTTTTTTTAAAAAAAAAAAGAAGGGCAATCACTCTCCAGTGCTATTTACTGCCTCTGAAAACCCAACTCAATGGTACAAGAAACACACAACACCGTCAAGCTGGAGGCCCCACCCCACAGAGAGCGTCCTCTTCCAACCCTCTCAGCTCTATTCCTTGAAAGAAAAGATTTCCCTTGGCTCTGCTTCCGCCTGCCCAAGGCCAGCAGTGACCAGCCAAGGTACGCTTGCAGGCCTCTATCTCACTGGGGCTCTGTGCCGGAAATCTCCTACCTCCGGAACAGGCCTCCCCCAGCGGCTCCTACTGTGTTCTCACTTCCTGAGCCCAGCCTCCTGAGAGACATCACTGACTTATCTGTCTTTGGTGTGGGGTCTCTTGTCAGGCAGCTGAATGCCATGGGACAATACCTGCCTGCCCCACACGACCAGAGATGGCGTGCATAACCGTGAGAAGCTGGAGGATTGTGGGATTGTATCCACCAGAAAGATCCCTCCTGACCCCTGAGCCCCCAATCTTGTTTGGAAATAGGGTCTTTGAAGATGTTATCAGCTGAGTTAAAATGAGGTCATCAACTCAACTCTGCTGTACCGGAACCAGAACCGGAGCCAATTCTCACGACTCAGAACCGACTCACAGGTGGCCCTCCAGCACATTTTCAGAGGCTGTCAATCACACAGGAGGAGACAGCTCATCTTTCTTCCTAAGAGCAGCTGGTAGATTTGAACTGCCTGCCTTTGGGTTGGCAATGCAACTGTCTATCCAGCAGGCCACCAAAGATAATGCAGGACAAACCAAACCAAACGGGTCCATCAGAACAGAACTTATGGAAGCAGAGTGTCAGGACTTTCTCTGAAGGTGTTTCTGGGTGGTTTCCAATTTTTTCGATTAGAAACTGAGCACTCACTCAATTGCCCCACCGAGGAACACCGATCCAATATATGTAAATGCTGCCGAGTCAGCCCTAACTCGATGAACCCACATCCAACAGAATGAAACGCCGCCCGGCCCTATCACGTCCTCACAACCATTGATGCTTCGAGCCACTGTACAATCCATCCCCTCGAGGGTCCTCCTGGCTTTCACGGACCCTCCATATGCCAAGCATGACACCCTTCTCCAGAGACTGGCTGCTTGTGACAACATGCCCAAAGGTTGTGAGACTGAGACACAGTTGTTAAAGAGACACAGTGATGGGCACAGGGAGGAGACTATGGAGGAGCAGAATGATGCTGTCACAAAGCAAAGAACCTGAGGCTCCCCGAAGCTGGATGAGAGACAGCAGGGTCCTTCCCTAGAGCCTGGCCCTGCCCAGACCCTCAGCATCAGTTTCTGGCTTCCAGCACTGTGGCACCAGTGTCCGTTGTGTGGAGACACGCACTCACCTGGAGGAGTTTTTCCTCAGGAAAGTAACGGATCTTGGGCTGGGACAAATGGTTAACCAGCACATCTACTAGCTGGAAGGTTGGTGGTTCAAACCCACTCAGGGCTATCTCAGAAGTCAGGCAGAGGGTCAGGGTAGGGGAGTAGTTGGCTTCTGAAAGTCGTGACAACTTGGAATCAGTTCTGCTCTGCACACATGGGGTCACCCTGAGTGACCTGGTGGCAATGAACAAGAACAACAATCTTACAGAGACTCCTCTGTTCTCAGATGCCAGCCTCCCAGGGGATGGTTTGCACCCACTCAGCGGCAGCTCCATGGAACATAGGCCCGGGGGTCTACTTCCTCCAAGACAACCAAGGAGAAGCCCGGGGAGCTCTGAGCAGCTCTGCGATGTGAGGTGGCAGGAGCCAGCACTGAAGTCCTGGCATCACGTTTGGTCCTGGTTTTCTAATCTCACTAGAGGAGATGGCAGGCCTTTCTCCAGAAACTGACAGACATCTGCTAAGGGGCCAGAGCGCTCCTCATTGAGAATCACAGCTTTATACACTTTATATACCACTGAGCCTGCCCAGCCCCAAATATCCAACAGAAACAAAATGTGGACCTTGAATTGTGGGGCTGGACAAGAGTCTTGAACATACCATGGACTGCCAAGAAAACAAATAGGTCTGTCTTGAAGAGGGTGAAACCAAGCTTCTCCTGGGAGACAAGGATTTTGAAGCTCTGTCTCACATACTTTGGGCACGTGTCCAGGTGGGACTGGTCCCTGGAGAAGGACATCATGCTCAGAAGGGTGCAGGGACAGCACAGAAGAGGAAGACCCGGGATGAGCGGATTGATACAGTAACTGGGGCAATGGGGGTCGATGTGTCAGAATGAGTAAGACCAGCTCAGGACAGGGCAGGCTTCAAAGCTGCTGTACAGAGGGTCGCTATGGGTCACAGGTGGCTTGACAGCATATTACAACAACAACTATAGTTTTCACTTTCCCAATACCATATCCAATGGCCACTGGCCCTGAAAGACAGCACAGAACTGCCCCAAAAGATTTTCAAGACTGTAAATCTTTACAGGAACAGACTGTCTCTCTCATCTCTCTCCCGTGGGCAGCTGGTGGTTTTGAACCACTGGCCTTTCGATTTGTAGGCGAGCACTTTAACCACATGCCCCCAGAGCTCCTGAGTCAGAATTAACTGGGTTTGCTTTGGACTTTTTAGTAACTACATTCTTAAAAAGTAAAGGGAAACAAGTAAAATGAATATAGTCTTATTTTTAAATTTATTCTCTGGTAACCTCGAGGCAAGAAGCTGCACTGCAATCCTGAAGGCACTTGGTTCAAGGCCATTAGTTTGGCAGGAGAAGGATGGGCAATCTCCTCTCAGGCATTTAACTGCCTCTGAAAACTTGCCGGAGGGTCAGCTATGGGTCTCTGGGTTGGTTCTGGCTCTGCCCTACACAACACAACACAACAACACAGAGCCCTGGGACTGGGGGGTGGGGGATCAGCTACTAAGCGAGAGGTCTGAACAGACCAGTGGCTCCAAGGAAGGAAGATGTGGCCTTGACCTTCCAAGCAGATGTACAGCTCTGGAAAGAAACCCTGAGGGAGTGTCCTACTGTGTTCTATGTGGCCATGAGGAGTTGGAAGAGATTCCTACGGGAATGCAGTTTTATACCCCAAAGTATATAATTTCAACACGGAATCCACGTAAAACATTATTAATGAGCCATGTGGATTCTCTCTCTCTCTTTTTTTTTTGTGGATTCTCTTTTTTAGGGGATGGGGAGGCAGGACTAAGCTTCGGGGTTCAGTGTGCTGACAGCATGTCTCTACAAGGTCAACCACACTGCAAGTGCTCAGTCCCCAAGTGGCCGCTCAGTCCCCAAGTGGCCACTCAGTCCCCAAGTGGCCGGCGCAACTTGTGCCGGGGCCTCGCCCACCTTCACACATCTGATCTTTATCCCCATTTTACAGACAAGAAAGCCTAGGCCCAGCACAGGATGACCTGCCCAAGATGACACGGCCAGCACACAGTGACCCAGCTTCCTGCCCTTCCCCTCCCCTGGTCACACTCATGTCTTCAAGGCATTAGGGACCACAGGCCTCTGCCCAGGAAGGAATCTTTCCTTGTCTCTGAGCTGACCTTCCCCACCCCCCATTCCTCTGCCTCTCCTCCCAGAGCCACCAACCTCATGTTATTGTTGTGTGCCTAAGAGTCTTATCACTCCCTACCCATAGCCTTGTGATATGAAGGGCTGGGAGACACCACTCATGGCCCCCTTACTTTCTCAAGCAGATTCTAGGGGTTTGTTAAGCCCGAAAGTGGGCCTCAATGGGATGCAGCAGGGAGCACAGGCGGAGGAGGAGGAAATAGGGACTGGAACGTTCTTCTCCAAGAACTGTCTACCAATTCACGCCAGTGCCTGTCTCCTGGCAAACTCCTATGCATTCTTCAAAGACCAAACCCTTCCTCCCCTGAGGAGCTCTGTCCTCCCTCCCTGGAAGATTTCAGGGATTTCCTCCCCAGGCCCTCCAGGCACTGATCACTCTAAGCAGCTTAAGGCTTTAAGCAGAGATGATCTGGCCCCTTCCCATCCCCCACCTCCAGGGCTCTGTGTCCTGAGCCCTGGACACAGCCAGCCACTAGCCTTTGCTAAGTTCATGAACCTAGCGGAGTGGGTCCTCATCTCGCTCCCAGGACCTGGAGTCCCTCTAACCCCACCACTACCCCCGTTTAGGGAGAAGGTGAAGAAAGGGGAGGTTGAGTCTTGACTCTCTGGGTGGTAGCAAAGGCATCCAGTGGAGGGTGATGCTGGGTCAGGGAGAATAGAACCAGGGTTTCTGGGATCTTATCAGCACCCGGCAGGGGACCTTGCTTTCCTCTTGGCCAAATGGAACAGTAACTGCAGCTCAGTCCCTGGCTGGGGGAGGTGACCAATATTCACATGATTTAATAAAACGATGACCAACACTCACACGAGTAGCCACAAGAGTACCTGAGTCCCAGACACAGGGCTCAAGGGGTTTCAGATCCCAGGAGGGCCCTCGCACCCTGGCCAGAAACCTCAGGAAGTAGGCAGTGGGGTGGCCATCATCTGGGGCCTGCCTGGCACCCATGGGTGTCTGCACACGTTTACAAATTGGACAAGTACATGAGCAAGAGCTTCCCAGAGAGGCAGCTGGAAGCTCAGAGACCTGAGAGCATTCATGATGCTGGGGGTGGGGGTGGGGACTCCCCAGCCCAGCCCTCCAAGGTGCTAGGGCCATCCTGGGTCCTCCTCAACATCCCCCTTCTTTCTCAAGCACATCTTTGGGGACAGGGAGACTCCAGGGAAGGCCCTGCAGGCGAGGTAGCTCGCTCATGCATAACCAGGTGCTGGACAGCTGGCACAGAGACTCGCACCCAGAACAGGTCCGGGAGGGCCACTGGCCAGGGAAAGGGCCCTGCCCAGCTGATGCCAAGCCCAGGGGGGGAGCAGGACGTCCCCCCAGGGATCCTGCCTTCCCCACAGCTAGCCTGGGCTCTCAGTTTGGCCTGGGGTGGCCCGAGCGGGCCTCTAATCTCGGGGCGCCTGCCTCACCCTCTGCTTTAGGTGGTCGCCATCAGACCAAAAGAGCCTTGGGGAGGGTGAGCAGGATCCGGCTGAGCAGAAGGCCTGCAGTCCCCCGGCCCGGGGCGAAGGAGCGCCGGGTCCGCCCTCGGTGATCTTGACCAGCCCTTCCCCTTCTCCTCGCTCCAACGAGGCGATCACTCACACCTGCCAGGGCCCGGCCGGGGCCGCGGAGGCGACGCGGGGCCCCGAGAGCTGCCGGGCGGCGCCCGCAGTGCAGGCCGGGCCCCGCGGGGAGCGCAGTGGGGTCGGAGGGGCGTGCGGAGGGTCTGGGGCCCTGCGGCGGGGACGCGTAACCGAGTGTGTAAGGCGGGAGTGGAGAAGAGGCGGAAAAGGGGAGGCCCAGGGGAGAGGGGAGGCTGCGGAGCAACCGGGGAGCCCTCGGCCCGCGGACCCCGGCGCTCACCTGGGGGCCCGGCCTCCGGATGCGGGCGCCGCGCCGGGCCTCCAGCCCCACCCCCACCGCCTAGGAGGCCAAAGTCCAGCCGGGGCCGGAGGAAGAGGGAGGCCCGGGCCCGGGAGCCCGCAGCCGCGCTATTGTTCCCGGCGCGCCCCGCCCCCCGCACCTGCCGCGCGACCCGGTACCTGCGCCCCCGAACGCGGCCCGCAGCACCCACGCCAGGCTGGCCGCCGCCTTGGCCCGCGAGAAATCATACTGGTCCAGCGACTTGATCTCGGGCACCAGGAAGGTCTTCCGCAGCGTCCCGGATCCCGGGGGCGCCGCCTCCACCATGGCGCCGCCGGGGCTGCGGCGCTCGGCCGGGCTGAGCTGCGTTGCCGCGCT